TTGCTCTGCCAAATATGGAAGCTGAGACAATTGGACGCACTATTGTGGAACAGGTATTTGTCAGATTTGGTATCCCCTTCACTATTCATTCAGACCAAGGTCGACAATATGAGAGCAAGCTCTTTTGAGAGATGTGTCGGTTACTTGGGATAAAAAAGACCCGTACAACACCCTATCACCCGAAGTCAGACGGGATGGTGGAGCGTTTTAACCACATATTGCTCTCTATGTTAAGCACTTACCTACAGGAAAATCAACGGGATTGGGATTTGCATCTTCCTTATATACTTATGGCATATCGTTCTACAGAACATGACACCACCAATTTCTCGCCAAACATGCTAATGTAGGGACGAGAAGCGACTACCCCATTAGAGTTGATGTATGAAATGCCTCCAGATATTAAGGATATTCCAACAAGTCAATGGGTTTGGGTGTTACGCACACGATTAGAGGCAGCTCATAAGTTGGTCAGAGAAAACATGCAAGGTGAAATCCAGCGCCAGAAAAGGTACCATAATACCAAATTAGCATGGTCATCCCTTAGTCCCGGAGAAAGAGTTTATGTATTCTTCCCTACAAAAAAGAGCGGCAGTTCTCCGAAGTTAACATCGTTTTGGAGAGGGCCTTTCTTAATTGATGACAAATTGTCAGATGTTTTATATAAGGTTGCATGCGGAACAAAAGGCGAAAGCACTATTATTCACTGTAATCGCTTGCGGAAGTGTAAATCACAGATACTTCAAAGAGAGAATGATATCAACAATTCCAATAGTCAAAACAATGTGGAAGATCATACTTAAGAGTGCCTTGTAGAAGAAAATGAAGATCAGTATGATTTTAGGGAAAACCCAAGCAGTTGTGCTTCAGATAGGCCAAGACGCATTAGAAATGCACCTGCGTGGCATGACGACTTCATTGTTGAATACAAATTATAAGCTGTCATTACAATAATAGATTAGTGTAGAGCAATTTTATTATGTGTTCAGTTTTTTTTAAAAAAAATTTTCTATTCAGGGTTTTGTTCTTGTGATTTTGCAGATCATGGCAAACACCAAGACCACTAAAAGAAAAGAGGGTAACCTTTGTTCTATGTGTTCCCAGAGAATCAGTGAAGAATTAGTGGGAGAAACATGTACTGGAGTGTGGGAGAGAGTGCAGACAGAAACGGTTTGAATGCAGTCATTGCGACAATGCTACAAATAAGAAGAGCGACATGGTCAGACATTGTAGAACTCGATATGGTGGATTCACTCAGGTTGACAGTGAGTGTGATTTGGAGCAGTTAGATCCCGGGAATCTCTCAGAAGTTGTTGGTGAAGCCACAGCGGCTGGGAATTCCCTTCCTTCTTCAGAAGTGACACAAAGGAAACCATCCAGACCGGCTCCTGTATACACTCCAAAAGTCAGGAGCTTATTGAGCAAGCGTTCTTTAGTTCCTGTTGCTCCTGCTACATTCCAGCATCCCATGACGACTGTGAAAGAACATGCAGTTCCTTCGGCAAGAGTATCAGCGGCTTCGTCGACTGATGTTCAGGATTGTAGTGTCCAGGATTCCATCCGTTCAGTTGGTGTCGACAAAGGGACTCTTCCAACAGAACAGATAACACAGGCCACTCAGACTGAAGTGACCAAGAGAAAACGCCTGGATCGGTGTCAGGAAACATATCAAAAGGACGGAAAAAATGTAGTAGAGACCCATGAGTAAGAACTCTGGATTTAGTGGCCAAAACTGAAGATATGGCAAATAACATTGTAAATTTAAGCAGAGAGCTTAGTATGTTCGAATGCTTTTGGGACATGCACATAGTTTGTCAGCAAGATTATTGCATTGTGTAAATAATAATGAAAATATGTAAAATTGTACGCCTTTAGATTTTCTTTATTGAGGAATGCGAGACGCATTTCCTGGAGGCGTGGGTAGTGAAGCAAAACTGTAGTCGAGATCATATTATCCCTTCATTTCTCGGTAGTTGCACTAACTTCTGGTTTCTTTGTTCCCTTCGGTTCTCCGCAGGTCATGTGACCTGAAGTAGGTATAAATACGGAGACAGTCGGGTTGATTTAGTTAGTCTGTTATGTACGGCTGTATAGAAGACACGTCTACAGAAGGGGCAAATGTGGAAGGTACTGAAAGGGATATTTTATTAAGTCTTACGTGTCTGAAATAGACTTTCGAGACTTTGGTTGGGTAATATAAATCTATATATAGTACCTTCATACACTGGTTTGACAGAATTTAAGAAGTGGATGAGCTTCAGTCCTTGAAAGGCGCGTGTGATCCCGAGAAACAAAGAGTATATTGTACATATTTCTAATTTAAATTTGTGATTGAGAAAATTGATTTATTTTTTAATTGTTCAGATAGAACAGCCGAATTTCACAAAAGAACCCCGAAAACGTTACACTTTTATCAGACCCAGATCTCACCAATAGCCTGATTAGAGTTCTCATGCGTTTTCGATCTGCGCAGATTGGGATTATGACCGATATATAGAAAATGTTATACTGATTTACAATGAGAGAAAATCTTCGAAACTTTCTGAAATTCCTATGGTATGAAGATAACGACTTCAACAAGGACATCATAGAATACAGAATGCGGGTCCATATGTCTTCGGTAACAAACCATCACCCGCCATCGCAAACTACGCTCTACAAAGGACAGTGGAGATCGCATGCGAAACATATGGAGAAGACGTGAAGAAGTTCGTAAAACAAAACTTTTATGTTGATGACACTCTGACCTCAGTTCCATCTGCAGAGGAAGCTATCAACCTTCTCACCAGAACTAAGGATGCTTTGATGAGTGTAGGAAAGATCTGTCTCCACAAGTTTGCATCCAATAGTGGAGAATTAATCGCTAACTTACATTTAACATTTACTGTTAACCGGAGAACAATAGACAAACACTAACATGCGCTTACTACATGTAATATATAATGTTGCTCATTTAGAGTGTTCCAAGGAATGCATGTGTCTCCTGCTTATAGCTTCTTTAAAGGTGTAACTAAATCTAAGAGTGAACAGCTATTTCAATGCTATTAGCATGTACAGTATTCATGCAAAAAAAGAATCCAGCATGACAGTTCATACATATACAAAAGCATCCACAAATAGTATGTCTGCAATGGAGTCTTTCAATTAAAAAAAATTATTCCCAATCCTCAAACAAATCATTAATTTGAAAGTATTATGAACTAGAACTGTCCAAACGAGACAAAATACCCCCCACTGGACTTTTCAGAAGTATGTTTTTCCATAATAAAGATATGTATCAAAAACAAATTCTGAATTTTTTATTCCAGTGACCTTGAACTTCCCCACATAACCTTGGGTCAAGGTCATAACACACCCTTGGGTCATGGGCAATCTTTCAATGAAATGAGAACCTAACAAGTTTATCCGTAAGAAAGATAAGGACCGGACACAAATTATGAAATTTTTCTTCCAGTGACCTTGAACTTCGTCAAATGACCTTGGGTCAAAGTCTTGACACACCCTTGGGTCATGGGCAATCTTTGTGTGAAATGATAACCTCCCAAGTTTATGCATAAGAAAGATATGTACCGGACACAAATTATGAAAGTTTTCTACCAGTGACCTTGAACTTTCCGAAATGACCTTGGGTCAAAGTCATGACACACCCTTGGGTCATAGGCAATCTTTGTGTGAAATGAGAACCTACCAAGTTTATCCATAAGAAAGATATGGACTGGACACGAATTATGAAATTTTTCTTACATAGAGCAATCTTAGTGTGGAGAAGAAGATTCTAATGTCCCTCTGTAAGAAAGATATGGACCGGACAAGATTGCACAGACAGACGGACAGCTAGACAGACAGACGGACAGCCAGACGGACAAAGTGATTCCTATATACCCCCCCAAACTTCGTTTGCAGGGGGTATAATAATTATTTATTTTTTACGTGTTAGTCATTACACAAATTATCATTATACACGATCAGTTGCGGGATCCCAATGTATTTTTGTAATATTTGAGCATAAGTTTGTGTTGTAGCTGCATTCTTTCTACAATGTACATACTTTTATTTAATGTTAATACGTAAAGTTGTAGATTACATTAGATGTGACTATTCCTGCATTTTAAAGAGAAAATACATATGGAGGTTTCTATGCAAAATATCTAATTAAATTCCATAATTTCTCTACCTACTGCACGGAAAATGATAAGACGTTTTCTTATACATTCTTGCTACCCATGACATGCAATAGCCAGTACACATTATGAAGTCATATTATGATGTCATCAAGCTCTACTACACAAGTTTATAAAAACATCAGCAAAATAGCTTCGGCGCAAGGGCATACCCCTGCGAGGTGAAATTCATAATTTCAGGAACTTTTATGAATCGTTCATGAACATTCATGATGTGTTCATGAACGGTTCATGACTGGTTCATAAAGATGGTTCATGAACTTTATTCATGAATATATTCATAAAATGTTGTTCATGAACAAATGATGAATTTATATGAATATTGGTAATTTTCATTTTAAAGACAGAAAAAATGTAGAGTTCAAGGTATTATGAATGTTCATGAATTTTCATGAAGACTAAAATAATTGACAAAAATGATTGACAGAAAACACTCATTACTCTCATAATGCAACTTTTGCATGCAGATGCAATTGTTGAACAAGCCTCTGGCATAATTTATATCTAATAACATTTTTTCACCAACTATCTGAAAAAATAGATCATGAAATCTCTAAACATTTCGTGTTTTTATTTGATTTTAATCAAACAAACACTGCATCACCACTGACAGCCTTTTTATTCAAATTGATTATTTATGTTTCTTCATAATTTCAATTAAACAGTTATATTCATCATAATGTGCTTTAAATAATGTCGTTTTTCATCACACAACTTTGCTGGACCGAATTTTTGTAACATCAAATTTAAACAAGTTGCAAAATAAAAAATTCACAGTTTCTTTTACAATGTTTTTTGAGACAAATATAATATCATATACCACTCAGATGTACAATATTAAAGCATACTTTTTTAAATGTTTGTATTCTCAATGAAACTGCAAAGTATTTTACATCAAAGGTTATTAACAGAAATATCCAAGAAAAAAAAGATTACTGGGGGATCGCCTTGGTTAAATTAGTGATAATCAAGTTATGATATACATGTATGTAGTAAACTAAAGTATACATTTTTTTTTAAATAAGAGGTTAGATTCATTAAATGACATTGGTCAAGGATTGGGAGAGGTCATTGAAACCTCAACAGTATATACATTCACAATAAAGTGCCAGTAGCCCATGTTCACTTACTGTACAGAGTTTAAGTGACTAGAGTGACAAACACATGTATTAAATGCAAAAATATATGTAGTACACAACTACATTGATACAACATGTACAAAGATCCCATAAAATGAACATTTGCTATTTTCCACCAATGTACGTGCCAAAGATCCCAATTATGGAAGATACAAAACTTCTGACATGTTGTTAGAATCACATCCTCAGATATCCCATGAAATTTGCAATAGAGGGTTGACAGATAAATGGCGTCACCAACGGATTCACTTTAAGTACGAAAACTCAGCAAGTTCGATGTTGATCATTCCAACGGACACTTCAAACTTTCCTTGCACAATTTCTGAAAGAGGAGATGACCATTTAAGATGTATCATTATTGATATCCGTATAAATATATGACAAATAATAAACTAAAGCTACACAAAACAATTGTTCTTTTCTACCTGGCAGATCAGTTTACTGTAGAATATGAATTCACTATCTTGCAATTTTTTGTTCAAATTAGGATTAATTCTGATAAATGTAAAAATGTGAAAAGTTTATAGACAACAGACAAACACAAGACTGTGACACTGATCAAAAAAATCACTTGCGCCTTAAAATGGCTCAGCTGAGCTTAAATGAAAAGGCTAGAGCTGAAGCTCAATGCCTGACTAACATTGAAAAAAATTAATTTTAATTCATGTGATTTTATTGATTAAGAAAATAATGAAGAAATCTTACCATTTTTTTATACAGTTCTTGTCCTAAATCTTGTGAGCATCCGGATTCCTGTAAAATGCATGTATACTTCATAGAAGAAGATATCTTTGATTATATTTGATCTAAAATAATTATACATTCCCATGCAGTTAGCATGTTTAGATTACCTTTCAGAATTCATTGTTAAAAATAATAAGGATATGGAAATTAGGCATGTTAAGAATATAAATCTTTAAATGTTGTTTACTTTGCTTAGTTGCACTATTTTTTAAAATCTTATGCTTAAAGACATAGATTAATAAAATCAAAGTTAGTTTCTTTGTTTTGAATGATAATTTGAGCTGGTTCTCACCATATTCACAAGCCTAAAGACTGATTGGTTAAGCATCTACACGAGTACATGTATATCACTATATGCACTTTATCAAAGGCCAGGGCTGTGAAAATCATCTCAGGCATAGCAGCAACTATTAAAACAATCGAAACATACAAGATAAGAGCTGAAAAATGGTCATGAACATGCATTACAAAATATATAATTAATTACATGTACATCATACTCTGTAAATGTTATCTTGAACAAAGGAAGGTACAGGTAAAATTCTTGACATCAGTTCGATTCCAAGCAAGGAAATTCGGGTTAAAATCAATGATCTTAATGATATGTATAGATTTTTTAAATAATTATTACAATAATAGTGCTTGTCCTAACGATTTCACCATCGGGCATTTTGTGTATGGTGCCCGGATTAATCAAAAGTAGCAGAAACATTTTTCGTTCGAGGACACATTAAATACTGTACAATATTGTACCTACCGGTCTTAAAAATGTCGTCATCTTCTTCCATCCCAAACTGACCATGATCCCCCTGTTCATGGCACTCGTTCCAACTTTCCTTCTGTGGAACATCAACATGATGAACATGGCATTCGATATTTTTGAATTTCGGTGTTGTTAAAATTAATTGTTCATCGAGCCCGACTTCGATCCCGATGTTATTGAAATCTTAGTCCAATTTAATTGATGACGTAAAAAGTTCGAATTCTTCATTGATAAAACTTATTTTGGTATAAAAAAAATTGTATTTTCAGTGAAAAATTATTCAGATAGTATTTGTTATTTTTTTTTAAACAGAAATCTTGGAAATTCGAAACTAACGTATTTCTTAGCTCTACCGTAGATTTTTGAAAAGGCGCAAACTTGAAAACGCGCGAGACGTTGGAAGTGGGAATTTGGAGAGTGGAAGGATCGGTATTTGTAATCTATAATTTGCATAGTCACTGATCTTTGTCAACTTTTAATGAAAATAACAGAATATGAAGAAGGAAGACTATATAAATATAGGATTGATCTACTTCATAACTGGTGAGTGACAAAAATGGAGGCAATCACAGAGTCAGAAAACTGTCTGTTAATGTTACTGTCTATTTGTAAAATAAATTAATATGTCTTTTTTTTTTTTAAATGAAAGTTTTGTCTAACTTTGCTTTGAGTTTGGATCCAACCATATAACATACATTAATTATAGACTGAGACTCGAAACATTCATAGGCCTGATTGAGATACAAAATGGCGGTCCAAGAAAATAGGCTAAAATTCCATTCAGAAATCAGAATGTTTTAATTTGGAAGTGCCTCTGATGCAAAATTAAATGAAACTAAAATGCAAGAAAATACACAAAAGTCTTATGTTTTACAATCATGGGTAATTTCAGAAAATCTTTCTCTTTGAAGGAAAACGAGAAGCAGTTCACAAATGTTGATAAACAGAAGACAAGAAACCCTGGCTGCAAAAAAAATCTGAGCTCTTGAAAAAGAAAGAAAAAAAGAATTGAAAATATAAATGATATTCAATCAAAGGATCCAAATGATGAAATTCTGGAAATTCCACATGGAGAGACAATAAGGATTTTTGAATTGACCATCTCTGCTCGAACTGTTTGAAAGCACTTAAAACTGTTACCCTGGTGCTGAACAAACTTTTCTCCTAGACTGGAATTAAAAACTGTTCAACTTCTGGCATTAAAACACACTTTGAAACATGCTGAGGAAGGACCCCCCTCTCCTCTTGACCAAGTAAGGTTAAACATTCTGCCAAAACTTGTGTTTGAATTGAAATTTTTTATACTTTTACCAGGAATGGACTACATTACTCATTTACTATGGTTTAATATGTCAGAACTGTTTATTTTAAGTTTTTTAACAAAGATTTTGTTGCCATGGTTTGAACAAAGATTTTGTTGCCATGGTTGGAAAACAAACAACATTTCTGTGAAATCTTTAAAGATGCTGTATTATAAAACATCTACTGTTACTTTTTTTAGCATGACTTCATGCATTTTCATGAATAAACATGAATAATAATATTGCATTTTTTGTTTACAAATAAGCAAGAATATTCATGAATTTTAATGGTTCATGAATTTTATTCATTCATGAACATTCCTGAAAAATTCATCAAAGAAGAAGAGTCGTTATGGTTTATAATCGGCCCTGTGATTGAATCTGATGAGGGGTTTTTCAAAAGGTGTCTTTAATGCATATTTTCCAAAACAGTTTAAATTTCTCCGATACCACTTTTAGTTTTTAGTCGGAAGCCTCTTAAAAATAGCATGATATTCCGCAAAAGTCCTGCTTGACGGCATGACGTCGCGATGTAAATATAACGTTATCAATTTTTTATCGCCAACTTTCTAAATTTACATGTTTCAAAATATGTTAATTTTCAAATATATTAAGTTTTTTTTCTATATTTCTTTTCTTAACTCAATAACCCAATCTTTTATTAAGTTCCTGTATTTTTAAAATAGCGATTTGAGATTTTTTTACGATACACAAGTCTTTGCTAAATCGTTAATTGCATAAAACGTTTTGGAGAGAATACCTGTGAAGAGTTTATTTTCTTGAATTATATTAATATACATGTATTTATGAATTAAAATTATGTAACAATAATAAACTTAACAAATATATTCTTAATATACATGTGCAGTATTAATTAACGCTTAATAATTTTATCTTTAACAAATTATAATCATTTCAATAAGATAACAATTTCACGAAGTAAAGTTACACAGAGATTCGTAAACAATACCATAAACAATACCAATAACGCAAAAATAATCACATTTTCTCAAGTCCCCTCAGAAGGCTCGGGCACATCGTTGTGTAACTCTTTTATTGAATATTACATCTAAATACTCTTAGTTAGATTCACATCTTTCAAATATATCCAAGAGATAAGATTGGAAAGAATTTGTAATGAACGCATCAAGCAAATTGAGGCGATAGAATAATGATTTGTACATATAATATACGTTGTATGAATTCTGTCAGTGATATCAATCTTGGAATATCTACTATGTCCTCATTGTCGTTAAGTTAAACCCGAGCAGTTACCATGTGCATGTAGTATGGGTATATAAATTTTAATGTAAATATTTTAGAACAATTAAGAATCTCGGGAATCATTATTTTTTAGTGACGTCGCTGTCGTTTACAACCACAGAGATTTCCCAGTTCTGTACCCCTGTCCGAGGAACATCCTCGTGGCACAAAAATGCCGAAAGCCAAACCATACTCGTGTCATGCGCACACATACCCACTACCCTGCTGCCGTTGGTAAGATGAAGTAAACTAAGAGCCATTCGGGCGTCAAAAAATTCCTGGGAGAGTTCAACTCACCCCCTCCCCCTGTCCCCGGAAGCCCTGTTGCAACCGCTGCAAATAGCATTTAGCATTGTTATGAAATGCTTTACGTCACAAATCATTGCAATTCTATAGTGTACATGCTAATCTGCTCAATGATATATTTTTTTCATTAATCGGCGATTTAGCATTTGCGATTTCTACAGACCCCTTCCATCTCAAAGCACCCCCCCCCACATTATATATTAAACTTATAAATCTTTAAACTATATCTATATCACTCAATTTAAGTATTCAACTGCAGGCACGTTACATCAGGGTAAGAAAACGGAGGGGGTCCCCAACCTTTCCCAGACAGTAGTATGTGTTAGTAAAAAAAAAATATACCGAAGAATGTAGACACCCCCCCCCCCAAACGGAAAGTTTCTCTTTTTTCACTTTTGAAGATTACTGAGGTAAGTTGATTTTTTCTCTGGCCGCCCCTCCCCTTCCAAAAAACGATTCTACATGTACTTCCTTGAATGAAAAGTAGGCCTACATGTAATTTTAAATAGAACATACATAATGGATCAATATAATAATGTCAAACTTGTCTGTTATGGGCTCTAAATTAGAAATAAAATGTATTGTTCTGTAACAATAGGTGAAAGATATCTTTTTTTTTTTATTAAAGAAATGATTCGTATCTACTTGGACCTATATTTTACGTATGTGCAAACTGCGCAACTTTCAGTGACCGTATGAACAAACGATTTTACTAATAAAAGATAAATAAGACCTCAACTAAGAGAGTAAACATCAAAACAAAGGATTTATTGTTTACAGAGTTTAATACTTTTATGTATGTTTCCACATTTCTTGAATCGGAAGAAGTTCGTTTGAAAGATTTGTAAGCAATAAAGGCACTTAGGGCCATCGAGCAGTGAGGGATCTTTTTCGTGCCAGCAGTACACCTACTGCGACACGGGACCTCTCATCATATTTGATCTTTGGACATCGTTTTTAAAATTTGTATGTTTTCAATGGTAGGATATTTTATTTAATGAGAGTACACCGTGGGACGTGGAGACCGGTCCTTCGGGTGAGACCTATAAATCGAGGTCCTGTGTTTTAGTAGGTGCACTGCTGGCACGAAAAGGGTCCCGCATTGCTCAATGGCCCTAAGTGCCGAGTGATTAAAGGACAGAATTTGCAGCTCTCTATCGGCAAATGTAGGCGTTTCAATATATCACTGAAAAATTCTCGAGGGGAATTTCAAACAATAGTCTATGCAATTGGGAAAAAAATTTTAAAAACGAAAAATAAAATTAGGTAAAAAAAAAACAAACTTTTAATGACTGATCAGTCAATAGACTAGAAAAAGGCATTGAATAATCTTATAATATAAAATCTCTAACAAAACAACAGAATTAATTTGATTAGGCAATAATATTTAATCAATCATATATTTGGCCTTACGATGCTCAATTGTACTGCGTGTGTGTAAATAGTTCCAAAAAAAATATTTTATGTATATGAGATACTATAGTATTATTTCTTGACATTTATAAGTTATCAATTAACATAGTAGAATGCATAGATGTAAATACCACAGTCTTACAACATGTTCATATATATATTTATTTCTTATCCAGGAATAAAATCACAGATGAAGAATCATTTTTCGGCATATACATGCTCTCTCTCTCTCTCTCTCTCTCTCGACTAATCGACCGAAAAGACTGTTCAAACAAATCTTTTCTCTTCTGTTTACACCCATCAATCCAGCACAGGTACAAGTAATAGGTTGTCTATCTCAGGTATATTATGACGTCATTTTGTTTTTGTTTTCGACGTCATCAACACGCTGTTTTACCGGTAGTTAATTCAACGTGATTTTTAAAAGAGGTATTCATTGGAAATATATTATTTTTCGTGCTATTAAATGTTGATTATAAAAAAAATGTATGCATAAATAGTTCATTTTAAGATTTTTTTAGATGATTTTGTTAGATTCATCACAGGTTTCATTTAGATATTTCAATGTAATTTACGATCGACTTGTCATGTACAGATAAAACAATTTAATTACCTAGGTAACTTTTTGAAAAACACGGGCACAATTACTTTTATTATATGAACAATATTAGTCATTGTAGTGTTTTCTTGTTGTGAAAAAGTTCTTATACAATTTATCTTGAATAAAAGGGTCATTAGATATTTGTGAAATAGGCATGATAAAGAAAAACGTCTTTATTGTCATGAATTATCTTTATCTGAGAAACACAATTTATTAAAATTCGTCATGTCCGCATCTTTGTAAGGTCAAAATTAATTGTTAAAATAAATGATTATGATATGATTTTGCATTTGACAAAGTTTGGAATACATACTCGAATGCGGACACATTAAAAATTGCGTTTAAATACATTGAATATGCCAAAAAATGTAGTTTTCCGGAATACTTTGCTGGTTTCGACTTTCACTGTTACCAATTGCGCGCGCTTTATGCCAAACTAATACTTAAATCCTAAAGTTAGTGCCTTAAGCATATGTTATAGACCATAAATTAAAAAAAAGGTTCACTTTATATTTTCATATTTTTACAGGGCCACTTATGATAAATAACGACTTTTCTTCTTATTCATGAACAGTTCATGAAGATCCAATGAACTTATTATTGGACATTCTTGAAATGATGAATCTTCATGAATATGACTCTTCATGAATTATTCATGAAAAAAAATATTCATGAATATTCATCAATTTTCTTTCATGAATAAAAATTCATGATTTGAAAATGTCCAATAATAAGTTCATAGGATC